ATTGGTATGGAATTCCCTCGCTGATACGATGCACAGCTGATTGGGGTCGCTGACAGCGTCGACGGAAAGTCTGGCGGCGTGTACTGAGAGTCATCGGGATGCATTTCGTTAATGGTAGAGCACATGTTAGGAACGGGTGGCGTTCCGAAACCGCCAAATGGCGAGGATCCATAACTAGAGCCGCCAGAATTTGAGTACGGGCATAGTCCGCCATCGTTTCCTGAAGTCTCTTGACTGCGACCGTACATAGACTCGATTTCTCTAGCTGCAGCGTATAAAATATCCCAAATGCTGCGACGGTTAGGCATGCCACCGCCTCTAAGTCGCTCCCGGTGTTGTTCCTCAAGCAAAAAACGTTTCCTCTCCGACAGCCTCTCCCACTTAGCATATTGGCTTTTGCGCTGCTCATCGTAAAACTCCTCCTGCTGCGCTCTTTCAAGATAACGCTCTAGATCCTGTTTCGAGAGCGTGAAAAGCTCCGATGGCGATAATTTGAGTTTACGGGCCCAAAAGAGGATTTCCTTTTTGGTGAACTCTGAANCAATTTTGACTTGGTATTTTCGAGGATAAAAGTGGGGTTTGCTTCAGAAGTGACGATTTGATTAATTGTGACACCGTTTACTTAAGTTGCTTTTTTTTGAGATTTTTTTGGATATTTTTTAGTATACGAAAGCCACCCTGCAAAAAATTGTGCGACTAATCTCTAAAGAGAGTATTCCGAGATTACTCTCAATCGGGAATTAATTAGTCCCAATTAGTCTCATACGGGTACTAATGGAGGTCAATTAGTCTCGACTCATCCCTTATGCGTATAATTGGAGATCAATTAGTCCCCAACTCATCTCTAACGGGTACTATTAACGATTTAATGATATGTTCGCCTAACAAAACTGAGCACCCCGGTTCGAATCTCAGCTGGCTCATATTTTTATTTTTATCTTTTAAAAGTGACTAGTCGCTTTTTATATCCGCTTGGGTATAAAGGTGAACAATTAGTCTCTTCATAGGACATGCTCGAACAAAAGTGGTATTAGTCGCATGCTCCTTTGCGATTGCTCCCGGAGTCATCCCGGATTAGTCCAATTTTTTGCAGGGCAGTATACCTAGGCCTCGTAAAAGTTTCATCATGCCACTACCACCACCACCACTTCGTGGAGCCTACGAATCTCAGCGACTGCCGCTTTCTAAACATTGCCGTTGCTCTTAGATCCCCTTCAACCAGCGACGGGCAGAGAGAGCTTTTACTTTGCACGCTCTTATACAAAATATATTGAAAGCTTAAGAAGCTTTGGCCGCGGGTAAGGTAGTGCACATCACCACTTAAAATCGTCTCTTCCAGCAGAGTGCAGAGAAATAAATACCAGAGTAAATATCTGAATGTACCAGAATCTTCTTCATCGTAGCCACGGTTGCTACTTACTCATTGTGTACCAAAACGTGTAATAAGATTCAAAAAAGTTATCAAAATACATATGTTAAAGCACATTGCTCATATAGTTAATGCTATATGTATTGTGGAAAGATTTGCCGTAATCCCTATTCAAATTTGGTTTGGAGACAACCGGTACTCCTACCCTGTAGAAAACACCAACAACAAAAATTAGTTGGTACATACCTTTATTGATTTGAATTCTCTCTAAGAACGACCAATTATGCGTGCTTTACTAGTTGAGTAGAGTTTTACCGTTGTCCATAAGACTAGATATAATTTTGAAAGGGTCCAGAGCCTGTCATGCAAGTAGAAACTTTGTACCCTTATGAAATTATTACCTTGTAGGGCTACTGGAAGGATAATTTCGGTAGCATTTTGTCTATGAGTTTAACGAGGGATCCTCACAGATTGGTTTAAAACTATCAAGAGCCTTTAAAGGTCCCGGTTTCCTATGCTTACCAAATTACGGAGACACATAGCGCTTCAGCAAGCCTCATTGTCAATTAGTATAGTATGTGATGATTCCAATGCTTTCGTTGGGCAGGTGGCTTCTATAATGGCTACACAGGCAGATCAACGTAATAATGCGTATTATCAATGTATTGAATGGTCAAAACGTCAGCTTTGGGGGATATCCACCATGTTTTACCTCTGACAGCCTATTTATTAACAGCTATGAGATATGACATTCAGTTGACCCCTGAATGCATCGCCTCTTGCGATAGCTCAATCTCCGAAATTTCTCAGTTAGTTTTAAGGCTGCCTGCAATCTAGAGGCAATGTGTACCTTATACTTAAAATCCCTTGCTTTTCCAGGATCTCATGCCTAACGCCTCCTTTTTCTGATATTAGAGTTCTGCATTCAACATGATTATTTTCCATGCAGTTATTACATTTGGAATACCTTGTCATGTCCTTGGATTTTGCTTGAATGTCAAGGAACCCGTGAAGGCTTATATGGCAATGCCTTTCAATTACTTGAGTTAGACAATGTGTTGCCGTAAAAGCAGATTTTCTCGATTGATATGTACGTTGGCCTTCAAACAAAGGTTTGACTTTTAAAAAGGTATATGATGTAAGCAATAATTTTCTTATTTTGCCAGATTAAAAAAAAATGTACCAAATCTAAAAATTGTGTTCCTATGTACCAAACTGGAAAAAATGTACCAAAAATGGTACATTTTGGCCAAAATTGCAATCGTGGCCTTAGCAGCTCTTGCAGAAGTCATTCTTGTGTATCTCGTAACGTTCTGCAGCCTGCCTAAAAAGGTATCTCCTGTGACATATCGCCTCTCTTGAGAGCGAAGATATGTCCTATTCTTCTCATGTCTCATTCAGTACACATACTTTTGTGTCGCAGGTTTTAATATTAACCGCTTTTTTGTAAAATGCTACTGTTATTGTATCGCGCACACTATAATCTTCACTTACTCCATTGCTATCCAACAGATTAAATAGGAGGATCGAGTTCAAATTTTGAACTTCAAAACGCGTACGGAGCCTTCTACTTGTGCGAGAAAATGCTAGCTAAGAAAATGGGGATTACGCCCTAGTCTCGCATTAAGGTATTAAACGTGATATGTCGATTGTTACAGATAGAAAGAACATGCTTCACAATGTATTCTAAGGCTGAGGAAATTGGGATTATAGCAAGAGCGTCTTTATGTGCCTGGGCGCACTCCGCACTTCTTACGTACTAATTCGCAGAAAATTTAACGTCAACACTTGGGTAAAAATTTCAATATCAAGTTCCCTTGAAACAAGGATTGGAAAGACATTGTTTTTGGTGAATGCTACGAAATTTGTATTTTTACGGGCGGCTCAAGAATAACTTGCGGTGTGGTATCGCAAGATCTTTCGAGTGACTTTCAATTGGAANCAGAAAATTTAACGTCAACACTTGGGTAAAAATTTCAATATCAAGTTCCCTTGAAACAAGGATTGGAAAGACATTGTTTTTGGTGAATGCTACGAAATTTGTATTTTTACGGGCGGCTCAAGAATAACTTGCGGTGTGATATGTCTATGCGGCTTCCAGATTCAGCAATAGGTTTTCCCTCTCGGCGATGCAGGTACATAAATTTACCTTGATCAGGCGGGCATAACGGATCTTAGTTACTGTCCAATTCTTTTTAGACTACTAGACAGAGCATTGCGTTGATCGTCCTGAGGAAATGGGTGCCTTGTATGTTCAACTGAGCTGTACTTAATNTCCAATTCTTTTTAGACTACTAGACAGAGCATTGCGTTGATCGTCCTGAGAAAATGGGTGCCTTGTGTGTTCATCTGAGCTGTACTTAACGCAAGATTTCCTAGCATAGGACAAGAAAGGGTGAAAAACTGAAGGATCTGCAGAAGTGAAGACAGGACGCACTTATCCAGACTTACTGCTGGACACTAAGGCTACGTTTCTCCAACTCAACTTAATTTAGTTTAGCCATTTTCTGGACTTAGTCATATTATATATGTAGAAAAAAGATTTTTTCTTAACAGCGGTCGCTCCTCGGCAGGCAATGGCAAACCTCCAAGTGTATTTACTGTACTGTATACATACTTAATTTGTACATCAGATCTTTCCAGATCTCTTAATGTAAGCCTTGGTAGATCTTACTACAAATTTAACCACTGACTCGGATCTAGAATCACCTCCTTTTACAGTAAAACTAGGATCTAAAATTACTACATTGACGACTTTTTACAATTCTTTTAGAATAATGTAAGGCCAGTCGGAGGAAATGTAAAAGTTGATTTATGCGACGCCGGAGATTGTGGTATCTCAGGCAACTTGAAACAAGAGTGGCCAGTGTGTTTTCGTCATAAGGGGAACAGTCATTTTAGCACCTTAACCGAATTATGTTTCAAGGTAAGTATTTGTACACGGTAGACGAACCTCAGTAGAGCCATTTAACCATTTTGGGGAAAGAATTATAATTTTTTGTCATGAAACATTCTACTTCTAATACTCCCCTTAAATCACAGAAGATACTAGTTTTCGGTGCCATCTTTTCAAAATCTGGTAAAATAATCCAGTTGCTTTATGAAAAAATTTTAGCTAAATTTGACAAGAACTATATTTTAAGTCGTTTTATACATTCCATTCCATGTTTTGAAATTGGATTTTTTACAAAAAATTTGAAATCTTTTCCCACTGTAAAAATAACTGGAGAAAAATAGGTTTTGGAATTTGATTGATACTAGGGTTCCAACATAGCTTGCGTGAGGCTCTAAATGGATGGCCCTTGAGTTACGAAAAATCTTGACCATCCCTCTGTTTCAAGGCCCGTAGTTACAGTCAAAACAAAGTAGACTCTAAAGCTAGGTGCATGCAGCTTTTTTGACATATATTCCATTTTTGGATCTTTTTGTTTTAACTGTACACCATAGGCATCTACGATATTTGACGATTGGCAAATGATTTGTTGGAATTTTGGCAAATACCTCATAGAAATTGATGTTCGGTAATACTGCGTTACTTTTTTCGATCCTGATATTTTAGTTTTTAGTAACCGTTAATATAAACCACGTATATCATTAAATTTCAAAGTATATTCACTTGTATTTCACTTACCGACTGAGCTGATGACATAGGTCGCAGGTGGTTTCAGCACGCTCCGCGCATAAGCGCCACGTAGCACTTCGAGCGCGCATGGTTCGGCGGTTACCAAGCATAAGCGCCACGTAGCACTTCGAGCGCGCATGGTTCGGCGGTTACCAGTAGCATCCCTGGAGCTATATGACCGGCATATTTGAGGGCACGCGTCGCAGCAGTGAGCGGGGCATTCCACCAGCATTGAGCATTAGCGGCGAGGAAGTTCTGAAAAATATAAAATAGAATAGGCGAAAGTTAGTTAATGAAATGAATAAATAAACGTATTTAATTAAAAACAAGTAAGAGCAGCGCTGTCTTCGGCTATGCCGAAGGCTTCATACCTTTCATGAACATCTGAAAACTTTACTTTAACAGATTACTGCGTTTGAAAAAATTTATATATTCTCAGCACACATAGATAGAGGAGTTACATATATAAAACATCTTATCTAAACAATCAGAGGTATGCAGGATATACCCTATATAGCACCAATCAAAGTGATTTTCACTGCTGTGTGATCGGTATGTAAACCGGTAACACAATTTAATGCGTTTAGCTTCTTACATAAAGGAGATATATCGCAAAAACTGGTATAGGAACAATCAGTGGTATAAGAGATTATGATTATACAGCATAGATTTTGACGATTTTCTCAGTAGATTTTGTATTATTATTTAAAAAATAGCTTACGAAATTTATCGGTTTTAGCTGTCCACATAAAGGAGTTTTACAGTAAAACCCCATATCTGAACAATCAGTTGTATGGGGGCAATAAACAGGTTATAGTGACCCGATCTGTGTTAATTTTATTGTAAACTTTCTGTTGATAATGAGTGAAAATAGGGCGAAATTTCTTGTTTCGAGCTACATAGATGGAGTAGTTATAACAAAAAATCGCATATCTGAAAAATCAGTTGTATGGGAGATATATGTTATAGTGACCCGATCTTTGTTATTTTCACTGTAAATATTCTGTTAATAATGAGTGAAAACGGTGAGAATTTTCATGTTCCTAGCTGTATAAATGGAGAAGTTATGGAAAAAAATCTCATATCTGAACAATCAGTTTTATGGAGGCTATAGGTTATAGCGACCCGATCTTCGTCATTTTCTCTGAAAGTATTCTTTTGATAATGAGTGACAACAGTTCAAAATTTCATGTTACTAGCTACTTAAATGGAGGAGTTATAACGAAAAATCTTATATCGGAACAATCAGTAGTACGATAGCTATAGGTTATAGCGACCCGATCTTTGTAATTTTCATTCTGAGTTCTCTGTTAATAATGGGTGGAAGTATAGCAAAATTTAATTTTCTTAGCTGCATAAATGGAGAAGTTATAACGATAAATCTCATATCTGAACAA